ATGAGAATCAGAATTGGATCCACGATTTTCAGAAGACTTGGTGGAGATCCCAGACATTGTGGGATGAAAGAAAGTTGAATTAGGGCTATGGTTTTATCAAGTCCTGGTCAGAACTGCAGGCTCTGATACCATGTTAAGATTTGAGGTTCCATCTTAAAATATCAACATTATTAAGAGGAGTAACTCAATCATTTATAAGTTGGTTTATTTTTACATCTTTATTCAATATCTTCAAACCAGCTTAAGGGGGAGTGTTACAAAGGAAAATATTCTGTTTTTAACTAATGGCTGATATTCAGGGATTATAGCTGTAATTGATATTTTATACAAGTCTAATCAACTCTACAAATTAGGAATATTAGTTGTACAGTTATTCTGCTTCCTATTTTTGAGATCTTGTAAAGCCTATAAATGTGTATGTGTATTTGATGTTAAAAATAAGGAAATATAATTTCACAGCAATTTCCTTCTTTTTTTTCTACATGGTATCAGAGCCCATTAAACTCTAACGAGCAATTCGATCCGGTTAAGACTCTAAAAAATGAGCATACGGATTTCAAGATTGGTCTATTCAAACGAGCTACCATCTTGCGAGGCATGTTAAATGATAGAATCCCACATCGAATAAAGATGTAAAAATAAACCAACTTATAAAGGATTGGATTATTTCTTTTAATAAGGTTGACCTTGTAAGATGGAATCCCAAATCTTAATAATACATTTGGAAGTTTGTAATTTGATGTATGAGTCAATAAAAAATTACTACTAATGTATCAAACCACAACCGCCACATGTATGCTACGTGGGGCGACTTTAGATAGTCTTCACTATAAATAACATTACTTATTAAAACCCGATCAAGACATGTAGGTCAGTACCAGTGTCTCAATCTCTTAGGGAACAAGTTCCCTATCAATAAAATGCGTGCTACGTTTGTAAGTTCCGTCGGTGTAAAATTATTAGTATTTTTTTAGAAAAAAGTCTCACAAAATATGTAGATAATAAATAAATATAGTAATTGATTATAAATATGTAGTTGAAATAATTTTAGACCTTGACTTGATATAAAAAGAAGATCATTAATAAATTTTCAATAAAAACGTATAGAGGAGTAATTGATGTCCAAAAGGGACCAAAAATGGTTGTCATTGCACGCACACGATAACACGAGACCTTTAGTCACATGTACGCATGGTATATCTAAATTTGGAATATTTTCGTACAATTTTTAAATTATCCAATAACAAGAGTATTTCGGGTTTCGCCGATTCCAGCACCTCTAGGTGATTACTTTTTTTTTTTTGTCAATAACCAATGTAAAAATGACAAGTAATTCCCTGTAAAAAGCCTGACATAATTTTCCTATACACCAAGCGAGACTCTCGAATCAGTTAAGTGTCGGTAGCTTCTACTAGGTTAAGTTTTTATTTTAACTTACTTCAAATATTTGATTTTTTTTTTTTTTTTTTTTATCTTTTGGATTGTTTATTATATGGTTAATTTCACAAACTGTCACTGAACCTACGCAAAAATAATAAAACTGGAGTTCAAAACTTGTAGAAACGATCACTGAAGTTTCATGCACTTTCACAAACGGTCACTGGAGGACTGTTTTGCCTTTAATTCAAATATAAAGGATCAAAGTGAGCTAACCCGAATTTTGGACAGTTTTGAGGTGCCAACTTTGGACCACCATAACTCCATCATCCGGCCACCTTTTGCCACTAACCAATATACCAAATTGAAGCCATCAATGTCCTCTTAACAACCCACCCAACCACTGGCCGTGATCCGGTCAGAATTGGCCGGAAAATAGAGCCAAGTGAGCTACCCGAATTTTGGACAGCTTTGAGGTGCCAACTTTGGACCACCATAACTCCATCATCCAGCCACCTTTTTCCNGGATAAAGGCCAGTGGTTGGGTGGGTTGTTAAGAGGGCATTGAGGGCTTCAATTTGGTATATTGGTTAGTGGAAAAAGGTGGCCGGAGGACGGAGTTATGGTGGTCCAAAGTTGGCACCTTCAAGCTGTCCAAAATCCGGGTAGCTCACTTTGGCTCGATTTTTCGGCCAATTACGAGAGGATAAAGGCCAGTGGTTGGGTGGGTTGTTAAGAGGGCATTGAGGGCTTCAATTTGGTATATTGGTTAGTGGAAAAAGGTGGCCGGAGGACGGAGTTATGGTGGTCCAAAGTTGGCACCTCAAAACTGTCCAAAATTCGGGTTAGCTCACTTTGGTCCTTTATGTTTGAACTAAAGGCATAACGGTCCTCCAGTGATTGTTTGTGAAAGAAACTTAAACTTCAGTGACCGTTTGTGAAAGTGCATGAAACTTCAGTGACCGTTTTGTTATTTTTGCGTAAGTTTAGTGACCATTTGTGAAATTAGCCCGTTTATTTTATATATATATATATATATATATATATATATATATATTGAGTATTTGAATTGTATATTTATAATTTACTTAAAAATAGAAAATAAAATAAAATTGTACATTCATAACATTCACAAAATTATTTCCATCTGGTTAGGTGGAGCCTGTTTTTGAATATATGCATAAAAAAAATGAGAGAGTACGACTGGGTATTGCCGTAACAACGTTTTGACAATTGACTTTTGGGTTAGTTAGGATGTCTATTTTAAACTTCTTTAATTACCCTAATACGTGAAATCAACATTTGAATGAAGTCATATACCGTTAGGGGTTAACTATATTTTAAAAAGATAAGGTTACGATGGTGTCATGACATAAGTTTAAATTGCAACAACAAATTTGAAGGCAACTATTATTCATGTTTTGTCACACTTCAATCATATATATGTCGTTATCTTAATTTATTAATCTACATGCAGTAACTGAAATATGTTATTTTTGAGCCATAAAATATTCTACGGTGTATCCAAATCCACCGAATTAGCCAATAAAAAAAAGGAACAAATCAACATAAATGAGGATTTTGGTCCAATAATTACAATAACCCACATACCAATAAAAATAAACTCTCTATTTGAGAACCACCAAAATTGGGAGAGAGCTGTTGTTTGTACAGAACATATGCTGTCAGAATTAATACAAATGACGCTCGACAGTTTTCTATTGAACAATGAGAAAAAAATAGACAGAAGCAACATCTGTATTAATTCTGGCAGCAATTCTTCCGTACAAGGAGAATTGCTGAAATTGGGAAGCCATGCCAAGAACAACACATAGAGATAGACTAAACATCGAGTTCTTCTCTAACTATATAATTTGGAACACGAATAGCTTGAGATATAAGGGTGTCTAAGTATAACTAATCAAACACATACTCTAATCTTCTGATTGTGGAATTAATTTGCTTGGCATCGATCATGACAACAAGATAAAACACACAAAAAAGTTTTCGTTTTATCACACTCCCTCATTAATTTGCCCGCTTCTTGACTGTCGACATGGAATTGACAATCATCCATTTTTTTAGCGGTCGTGAACCATAATCGATGTCTTTATACCAAACTTTAATACTAACATATCCAAATCAAACTTCATGCAAAGTTTGCATAAATCTACCTACGAGATTATAACATCAAAAATATTTTTTCTTTGACAACGTCTCTCTTAACTTCGTTGTTGCACAATTGAATATTTTGCATTAATTTAGCATTATCTTCGAGTGTTCTTATTTTATAATGATAACTTTCAAGACATAAAATGTTCATAAATTTCCTCTAATGTACATTAATCCTATCGACGTAAAATAAAAAATAAATTCGACAATAACAAAACAAACCTCAAGTGTACTAAGGCGAGTTTTTACACACACTTGGAGTCAGATACAGCAACTGTAATCTCCTTTCAGCTAATCAAACTCTTAATAATGGAATTAACGAAGCATAAGCCCTATCAAATTCCTAGACAGCCACACTTATATCAAACCCAAAGTCCTAACAAACAACGAAACAACGTTAAATTTATGCTAAAATATTGAAAAATACGTCTTAAAATGATTAGTACCGGTTAATATGCGATTAAAGAGATAATCACGTGTCATAATATCCGAGAGCATAAACGGATAATTTGACATCGGCCACACCGAATTCTGGGCGCACTATAATTTGTCTTCAAGCGCTCGTCCTTATCTTACGCCAGTGGTGCGCCGGTTATAAACCTGCATACCCCCGTTCCTCCTTTTTATTCAACGCTCTCCTCATATTTAAAAAATAAATATAAAATCTTTCTTTCTCTCTCTCGTACAAAAAACACGCACAAATTATGCATACATGTTTCTCTTTCCGAGTGCAATTATTAGGATCTTGACGGTAACAAGTTGATTGGAAATTCAAACATTGCAATGCGTTCTTCGATCAAACGGTGAGTATGAGTTTTTAATCGGTGTACTTTTACTCTTTTCCTTGCTGCGTTGCTTCTGGGCGTGTAATTTTGGGAAATCTGCGCACAGTTTTGGTCTGTTTGGTTCTCTGAGGAAAATGTTAGCAAAGCTGAAAACTTAAATTTGAAGTCCTAATCAGAAAGACATTTTTATCTTTTTACTAACTTGAAAGTGTTTTTTTTTTCCCTCGCTGATTTTTTTGTAATTTGTAATACTCTCTCATTTTAGGTGGAACATTCTTTTCAGGACTCTTTTATTGATTAAAACAAGATGAAAAAGTTAATTTGTGTGGAGTTTCTTTCCTTTTTTAATTGAATTTACTTGTAAGCTCTCATTTCTTATTTTTACGCAAATAGTTTTATGAATCTTAAATAGACCTAGAAAGGAAAATCTTAATGTTATTTTTGCTAGCGTAATCACAATTTGAGGGAGGCGTACATATTATTTGATTGAGGAGTTTTTTCTGTAATTTGTGAAAGCAGTAGCATATAATGGTTTTTCCTACAATGATTTTGAGGGAAAAAATCTGCTTTTATGTGGTTTCAAATTTGTTATATAATTTTAGCTTGGATGTTGATTTCTTATGCAGGAGCTGTGCAATCAATTGAGATTTGGTGAAAGTAGATAATATGGGGGGTGTATTGACAGAGTCATGGTTCAGTAATATATGGAGGAGTTCGATAAAGAGCATAGCACTGGAACCTGAAAAGCCCGTGATAGGAATTTTGGCATTTGAAGTCTCAAGATTGATGTCAAAGGTCGTTTATCTCTGGCAATGTCTAGATGATAGGCAAATTGTTATATTCAGAGAAGAGGTTGCAAACTCGAATGGTATTCGAAAGCTTGTTTCCGATGATGATGATTATCTCATGGATCTTGCTCTTGCTGAGATATTAGAGAATTTGGGAAGTGTGGCAAAATCGGTGACTATACTGGGGAAGAAGTGTGCTGATCCAACATATCACAATCTTGAGCGTGTTTTTGAAAACCCAGTTGGGATTGATCATGATTGGAATGGTCGGCAGTATAAGCTGAAGAAGATGGAGAGGAAGGTTAAGAAGATGGAAAGGTTTGTTGGCGCCACCAACCAGTTGTTTCAAGAGCTTGAAGTGTTGGCAGAGCTTCAGCAGAGTCTGAGGCGGATGCAGGCTGGTGCTGGTTTAGGCAAAGTGAAATTGCTCGAGTTTCAGCAGAAGGTAGTTTGGCAACGTCAGGAAGTGAAGAATCTGCGGGACATGTCTCCTTGGGTTAGAACGTATGACTACATCGGCCGCCTTTTGCTTAGATCCATTTTTACAATTGTTGCAAGGGTTAAACATGTATATGGGATAAGTCATATAGAAAATGTGGAGGGAATTAATCAGTACGAGCGCATCCCTGATGATTGCCTTACTCGTAATAATTCCATCTCTGCTATTTTGAAATTACCACCTTCTCCATCTGAAAACAACCTGCCTAGATTTCCAGGTACTTTTGGAAGGTCATTTTCAAATCTGGATTTGAGCTGTGATAAGAATAGATCTAGGAACAAGAAGTTGCACACCCGCTCACAGTCGTCTCTTGGTTGTGGGAAACAGCAACAAACAAAATTGAGACATTTTGATCCTGTTGGACCTTTCAAAGGATGCATGATGGGTGGAAGTGATTCACCTGTTGTACAGAGCTACACACCATCGTGCATTGGTGCTTTGAGATCAAATGGTGCTTCTCAGAGATATGCTGATGAAACAAATGACACAAATGCAGTTTCCAGCAAAGTATCTTTCTTCAATTACAAGCGTCGGCTTTTAAATGCCCCTCCATCTACCCTAGGTTATGCTGCTTTAGCTCTCCACTATGCAAATATCATCATATTAATCGAGAAGCTCACTTCATCTCCTCACTTAATCAGCCTTGATGCAAGAGACGACCTTTACAATATGTTACCTGCAAGTATCCGAAGCTGTCTCAGGGTCAAGCTAAAGGTTTTTTCCAAAACTTCGGCATGTGTTTATGATGCTGCCTTTGGAGCGAACTGGAGCTTCGCAGTGTCTAGAATACTCGAATGGTTGTCTCCACTTGCTCACAACATGATAAAATGGCATTCCGAGCGGAACTTTGAGAGGCAGCAAATGGTTTCCAGGACAAATGTGCTTCTTGTCCAAACCCTATACTTTGCAAATCAAGCAGAGACTGAAGCAGCAATTGTGGAACTTCTCATGGGCCTAAATTACCTCTCAGGATTTGCTCGGGAAATTACTGAAAAGCCTTTTCGAGAGTCTACATGCAGCAGAGGATACGATGGTAATATGTTCCCCATCCCCAAGGATGACTTTTACAACATGACATCAAGTGAGGCATAAGATCCAATGGCAGGATACATGAAGAGTTCCTTTGCTCCTTAATCAAACTGGCACTGCTGTTTCATAGATTTCTTGAAGTCAAAGGCACTCTTTTAAGCACTCAAACGAATGTCGTTGCTGCTTTTAAGTAATCAAATGACGCGACTTCTTGGGCTGCTACATGGAGGTTTACTGATTTAGTTCATAAAAAAAGTAGCTTAAATATTTCAGCCATTCACGTGTGGAAAGCTTAGCATTTCCTGTTCACAATCATTCTTTAGCTTATTTGAGAATGTGTGTTATGATTGCAAATAGATACAATCGAAGTTGTATTTCAAAATTGTTTCACTGGCAGTGTTTTCAAATGTAAAGCAATCTGTATTTTAGTGAACCTGTATAGCTAACGAGACTCTCCCTGTAGATCAGTTGTGTTGTTTACTCTGAGTCTCAAATGGCGAAGATAAATTTCTTATGCAATTTATTGTTTGGTTTTCTGACTCACCTATATTGTCTTTCACTTAAAAACGAGATTTGAGTNCTATGTCAACGGCTTCTGGTAATGTAGCGGGATTGGATTTGAGTTTTGCAAATAGATCTGCTGTCCCCATTATTATCGTGACTCAAGTCAAATCTCTCAACCTCAATTCCGCCTTAGATGGGACGTGTGTTTCCAAAAATTTCATAAATGTCTAATTTATTGGAAGATGTTTCTTGTACATAACTATTTACGAGCGTGTTTGGTCCGAATTAAAATCCAATTAAAATTGAAAATATAGTCGTTATTGGGTTCTACTCGTCTAATAAAAGTCAACAATAACGACTAGTTTTTTAATTTTAATCCGATTTTAATCTCTACCGAACACGCCCTACATAAGATGAAGTGTTAAAATGTAAATGTGGAAGTTATTCGATTTATAAGTTTTCGATCCAATCAAATCTCACTGTATCATTTGTTGGTAAACTATTATTTAAATTGTTATGTATACGTAATACAATCATTATTTATTTTAGTAATAGATTCTTAGCTAAAAGTAAATATTTTACCCCCTGTTATCATTGAAATTGTTATTTTCTTATATTTAAATTATATTTTTTTTATTTCTTATTGTTTTTATTAAGATATATGTTTTGATATAAGCTTTTTTTTTTCTTTTTGCATATAATTGCCAAATAATTAACAAGTCAACTTATGAATGATTTACAATATTCAAAAATGAAAGCATATTATCTTGCCATTAAATATGAAATTGACACTAGAAGATTATAGCTTAGATTTCTTATTAGTTCGTTTTTGTAATAAATATTTTAGTTCAAATTTTATTTGTTCAATTTTTAAATGAGAAATCTCTATGTTTACAATAATATGATTATGATGAAATCATTCTATAAAAAAGATAAAATGAACAAACTTTTTAAATTAAAACAGTTTATTAGTGTTTAAATTAAAATTAAGAAAATAGATATATATAACAAACTTTTTAAATTTATTACTTATCAATGATCGGGCATGTTTGTGAGAATTCGGACAATTCTCACAAGCGTACGAGATCGTTAACAAGTAATAAATTTGATGAATTAAGAGTATAGTCCTACATGAATAAACTTTAAATTGGATCATATCAACTCATTAGTCATTATCAAATTTGAATGTAAATAACAAAAGTGATGATTTTATTTATATCTAAATTATTTTACTAGATTATCTCAGATTCTTTTAAATTAAATATTATACGTATTGGTTTGAAATCTGAATCCACCTATTATTATCATATTTTCAATTATGTAGTTTAGCTCAATTCTTGTATTTTTGACAATCGATAATCCTATCGTATTCATTTTTATTTTTCAAGATAAATTAATTATATTCTAAATACGACCCGGTCCTATTTCTGTTTCGAATTCAAATGAGTATAACACATTCAATAACACGATTATCGAGTTGATTGCACATGCGATATATGTTATTCATAACATTTATTGTCCGTGTTGTTATTCATGCATTGTTCTACTTAATTGTAAACTTTCAAGCATCACAACAAACAACTAATTATCTAATTGGTGATCAAATAATTAAATAATGCAACGAGCATTCATAATTAATCAAGAAACACAAAAAATATTAAATTACTTGTCTTTCAATTAAAAATAAAAAAATAAAGTGTTCGTCTTCATCCAACATAAATATATCTAGCTTAACATGTTTTCAAAAATAGAACAACAGAAAGAATGGAAAAGTATCGCTCGAAATTTATAAATATAAGAAAGAGATGTCATGATCTAATTCTTGTTTTTGATCTTCAACCTCAAGTTTTGATTCTTCAAGTTCTTGATTTTTTGATTCAATTCACGTGTTAGATTTTTCTCTTTTTCCAACTAATATTGAATTGACCTCTTGCTTCTTGATAGATCTCATAATATTGATGTGATATGAGAAGCGAGAGAGAGAAATCCTTTAAATGTTTTTTAACATGGGTTCCAAAAGAATTCCATCAAATAAATAAAATTGCTTTCGTGTTGCAAGTGGTTGTCCACGTGCAGTTGTCAATATTTTTATCATTTTTTTTCTTTTTCGATATTCGATTGAAGCGATTCAAAATGAGTTGGAAAACTAACTCAAAAGATTATAACTCTTCTAGAAGTATCATTATCCCGTTCGAATGTTTGCTATGGGAAAAATGTGCTTCAATCGGAGGCTGAAAATTGATTTGTAAAAATCTTTTGACTATATTTCACTTTTTTGACTTCTAATTGCAACCAATTAATTCCTAACATTTTCCAATTAATAAACGTTTAAGTATTTACATTTTGATCCCCGAACTTCGAATTTCTTCTATTTTCATTCATTTCTTCCAATTTCACTTCAATCACTAAGTTTTACCTGACAAAAAATAAATACACAAAATTATGTTATAATATAACAAAAGTAATACAGAATATCCTAATTTAAGGTCTAAAATACACTTATCAATTCATTTTTTTTAATGCTCTAAATAGAGATACAGTGAACTGAGAGAATGTTTAGAGGAACATGCAGCCTTCAATGTGCGGCAGATCCATCCAATCACTCTTGACATCCGTTTAATTGATGCTTACTGTCAATTATCCACTAAGATCATTATTCTGCGCTTGCTGAATTTGGAGCCGTTGTCATCCAAGAAACGCTAGTGTTGAGGCATGTTGGATACATTGAATGAACATAGGTGAATATGATTTCAATTGTTTTCTTGATAAACTAAAACATTTACGGGACAACGTTCCTAAGGGTCCGTTTGATTGCAAGATGGAAAATTGGGTGGAAAGAAAATGAATTCCATTATTTTCCATGGAAACGTCAATTAGTTGCGTTTGATTGGTATAATTTTCCATCTAGAAAATGTTGAGATATTCCATCTTTTGATGTTTGATCGACTTTGTAAAATTATGATTTTTTAAGCGAAACTATCAAACTTCACGAAAAATTTCTGACATCTACTCATCCTCCAGCAATGTCACCTGCGCCTCCCAGCCTCCTCCTTATTATTCTGCGCTTGCTGAATTTGGAGCCGTTGTCATCCAAGAAACGCTAGTGTTGAGGCATGTTGGATACATTGAATGAACATAGGTGAATATGATTTCAATTGTTTTCTTGATAAACTAAAACATTTACAGGACAACGTCTCTAAGGGTCCGTTTGATTGCAAGATGGAAAATTGAGTGGAAAGAAAATGAATTTCAGGGAAAATAATTGCCTAGAAATTATGTTCCATGGAAACGTCAATTAGTTGCGTTTGATTGGTATAATTTTCCACCTAAAAAATGTTGAGATTTTCCATCTTTTGATGTTTGATGGACTTTGTAAAATTATGATTTTTTAAGCGAAACTACCGTCCCAACCACCTTCTTCATCTGACACGGAAGAAGCCATCAACCTTCTTAAAATTTTGCATCGAAGAATTACGAAAGTAATTTTCCACAAAAAAAGCAATTGACAGAGAAGAAGCCATCAACCTTCTTAAAATTACAACTGGCTATTGACTATATAGTTGAAATAAAATTAAGAAAACAAAAAACAAAAAATCAATTGACAGAGAAGAAGCCAAATCTGAAACTGATCGTCCTGCATCGAGCAGCAAAACTCCCTCTCCGTCGAGTGCAGCAAGATCTCTGCCGTTGCCGTCGATTGGCGATGGTGGAAGACCTCATGGCCCCCCAGATTACAATGTTCCTCCACCATCAACCGGGCACGAAGGTTTGAACGAATTCCACCTTGGTGGAAAATGTATTCCCAGCTGAAGGATGGGAAATGATTTTCCTTGATTTGGTGGAAAATAGGGCACGTGAGGTGGATTGGGGAAAATGTTTTGACTGGAAAATTCAACCCATCAAACATGTTAAAAAGGTGGAAAAGGAAAATCTTTTCCAAGTTCCATGGAAAATATAACCTATCAAAGAAATCCTTTTTCTTTGTCAAAACTTAGTGGACAATAAGCATCACCTGCATTTTTCTTTCGTTGGGCTATTTTAAAAGAAAACTGTCTCTTGAAGCCTTCAATCGCCATAAACTCCTTTTCTTGATAGTGATAACATTTTTTTTTCTATTTTTATATAAAGTAAGCTGACGGTGATTTCACAATTATTTTACAAAATAGTTTAGCCAAAAAAGATTAAAATATACCACTACACATAGTTGACATTGAGTTGCATGCTCGTACCATTCTTTAGGTGGTCGGCTTGATAAAGAATTATTTGTGTTCTTTGGTGAATAAGTGATACATTTGATTATATAATAAATTATTAAAAGTATGTCTAATACTGTTCTTATGGAATTACTTGTGTGTGAAACTCGATACATGGTCGAGGAGACACTCGACGGTCAAGTTTAGTTCACTAAATGCTTTTTTAACTAGTTAATCAAAGTTAACCTCTGTTTGATGGCCATTATTTGGCGAGAATAAAATGTTGAATAGTGATTTTTTATATAAATGTATGGTTAAAAAGTAGAAAAAAATTTAGATTTACGAGCAGAATATTTTATTTTGTGT